CATACATGTGTTTGTTTGTGAGTGTGTGCTTCTGTAAGCCAGAACATTTGTAGCAGTGGTAACATCCAGAGGGCAGTGTGAATCTCTCCAGTTCCCCATTATCATCTGCTCCCATGACAAGACCACAACAGAGAGCACAAAGTGTCGGGTGATTGGACCTCACTATCTGCTGTTTTTGTTCCCACAAACACTCATGTTAAAACAGAGTACTCACCATCAGACACTGCTATTTGATTTCTTTTTGTTTCTTTTTTTTCTATACGGAATATTTTCTGCTTGTGCAACTTCAAGAGCCAACACACACACACACACACACACACACACACACACACACACACACACACACACACACACACACACACACACTACAGAGAGATGTTTGCGTGCATGCAGAATGTACAGATCAGACTTTATAAATTATCATCTTCTTCTCCACGTGTCGTCTTTGTGAAATCTCTCTTCCTCCATTTTTGTGTCCTTGTGTCCCCCACACTTCTATCCCTGTGTGACTGGACTTAAAAGGCCAGCTTGAGGGATGACAACCGTCGCTCACTTCAGAGGGCTGAGAGAGTCGGGGAAGATCGGGAATGGTGGGAGATGAAAGCAAAAATTGCAGATGAGGTAGAGCAGGAAGAGAGTAGTTTTAAAGATTTATAAAGGATTGACAGCTTCTGTGTCAGTCAAAAAAGCAGAATAACACAGACATGTTTTCCATCACATCCACACATGAGAACTTCTGTCTTAAAATGCGCAAGATTACCTGATTCATCAGTGAAAAAAATTTTTCATCGCTAGTACTTTGAGATTCCAGTCTCTATGAATGTAATCCAAATGAGGAAAATTACCTTAAGTCCATAAAATCCTTAAAACGTTTTATTTCACTATTTATTTGGTTGTGGTAATACAGAATCATTGAGTTGCAGCTCAACACATACACCGTTTTTTTTTTTTTTTTGCAGTGGTGAAATGACAGTGCGAAATGTTTTGAATATTTTAAAAATTCACTTAAAGGAGGCTTTCCCATCTACCGCAACACTTTCTCTGGCAGTTTTGCTGGGGTTGGTGAGGGGAAATTAGATCTGTTTATTAAAACTTCCAAAGATATAAGATAATATCTGTTGCCTATTTTCCATCAGCAACACATTTTAATATCTCTGTTTACTCTTAGGTAGCACGATGGCACTTAGATGAGGTAGGATGTTGCAGCTGCACAGCTTTTGGCTCAGCAAAGTGGCTGCACCTCCTTTTAACACATAATCATCAGAAGTTGAATGTGTGTGAATTTTAATTATTATTTAAATTACAGTTAAAGCATGTCTTTTGGTTTAGGTTGGAATTAGACAGAGGTTAAAGGATAAGGCTGGGGATATTTTATTATTCATTTATTGTCAATAAATCCTGTGAAAAGACCAAAACTATCAGTGTGTTAGTCTGGACCCATTGATTCTTACTAAAGACAAAAAAACAGACACAAATATATCCTTTCATTTCTGTCATTTCCTAAAACAGCTGCGTTGTAGTTTTTTTGGTAAATGTTACTCAAACAGGACTAAATGGTGCTTTTCTTAGGGACTATTTTCATCTCGGGTTGATGCACATTAGGTGTCCCAGCGTATGTGAGATTGACTTAACATCTATGATCTATGATAAACTGCAATGGTCATGTTCAGTGCACAATGGCTGATTGTTGTGAATATTTTTGGACAGCAATTGAGGGATTTGCCTATATGGCTACACTGTCAGATTTTGGCTACACTTGATGGTAGGATGAAGTCTTTTTATGGGATTTGTTGACTATAAGACAAATATAGAATAGATTCTGGAGAAGATTATTTTAGGGATTAATTGTAATGGTTTCAATAAGGCACACAGCAGTTGTGGTTAGGGTAAAATAAGTCTATACAATGTCCTCACAAGTAATGAAAGTGACTGTGTGTGGTTGTGTGTGTGCCCGAGAATGCCATCTCATGCTGTTCCTAATCCTATCCCAGATTGAGGTCAGTGGGGCTATTGGAGGATCTTGGTGTGTTTACAACCCCAGTCTGACCCTTGGAAATGTTGAGATTGGCTGGTGCTATCTGATTGGTTCTGCCTCCTAGACATATCTGTGTGTAGGGATCTGATTGGCCCGGAGGAGATGAAGTCAAAATGTTGAATACTTGGCTTTCTGTTTTCACACTGTTCCCCAGGTAGGCCCACAGAACGGGGTTGGTGTTTTTGTGTGTGTGTGTGTGTGTGTGTGTGTGTGTGTGTTTGTGTGTGTGTGTGTGTGTGGTGGTGCAGTTGTTATGGTAACTACCGGCTGTTCTCATGCCTTCAGCATAATGTGGGAGGGTTGCTATAGCAATGGCAAGTTGTAGCGTAGGTGTGTTGTTGTGGTAACAGTATGTCTATGCGAGGCTGCCGTTCACTCAGTCTCTGACTAGAGGGTCAGAGTGAGGGGACTTGGCAACACCAGGTCCTTCAGGGAGCAGAATCAGACTTTTGTGATGCTTGTAATGAAAATCATCTTTTATTTGATCTTGTCTTGAAACCCTGTAATGGCATTTTCTGATATAGATCGATAGATAGGTATACCACAACATGTACCATCAGTTCTATGCAAAATTGCATATAAAAGTGATAAAACTGATTTGTTAACTCTATTCCACTGACACAAATCCTCATATCTGTAAAACTTCACTTACCAAGCTTGTTCATTTTTAATAACTCATTTATTTATTTAGACAATGGCATAAGATCCTATCATCACAATATGATTCCACTGAAAGTTAGCAAATGATGATAATATTGAATAATTATTCCCCAGCAGGGGAAGATTCTCAGCCTAAACCTGTAATAAATAAAGCATCTGAATATAAACGTGAATACAGGCCCATTAAGAGTCCCATGTTAGTAATTTTATCGTACAACCAACAAACAAAATATCAGCAGAATAGTTTTACTGCTGCCCATGACTACCATTTTCCTCCCTTGCTGCTAGGTTGTTTGTCAAGCACTCAAGATAACAGAGAGGTGAATTAGTGGACATATTTCAGTCAAACCACGTCGGTATTTTCAAGATTGTTTTAAACTATCACAGGAAACAGTTTATTCTTGTCTGGATAAGATACTTATACTGGATATATCTCCAGAAAGCAGCATCTCATTAGAGCGTCACTGTGTCTGACCCACCTGATTACTCACTTTCTTTTTCTGCCACTTCTGTTTTATCGCCGTTTCTTTCTTTGAGTGTCTTGTTAAACTCTAGTAACCAGATGTCAAGCCTCTTTTCTCCGCCTCCTCTATCTTTTTTCTCTGATCTCTCTGCCTTTGTTCCCCCCGTTTGTTTCATTAGTGGTGTCTGTTTCTCTGTTCTCGCAATTCCCCATCTCTCAATTTTACTTATGTTTTCACAAGACACAAGAGCACACACACACACACATGCACACAGGCGCGATTTACTGTGTGCTTGTGTGTGTGTGTGTGTGTGTGGTTGGTTGTGTGTGTGTGTGTGCATGGAGTATGTACTGGCATACATAAAATCATTTCTGAACTAAAGCTTTACTCCTCCATCCCTGTTTCGTCATAGCAGGTGACTTGAGGAGAAGAACAGACCTCAAACACGCTGATTTGTAGTCTTCACAATGACAATCCCTTAAGAGCCTGAATAGCCAAACATCTTGACAAAGCACTCCACTAGCATAAACCCACACAAAGCACTTCCATTTTCAGGCTTTTAAGAAGGACTCACAGTCACCACATGGCAATGCAAGAAAGCTTCTCTCTGCATTTATTCGCAATTCATTTTATCTCAGCCTAGCTTAAATGGTTGACTGCTGTCCATTGTGAAAAACTGACGTCTTTATTCTCTTTTTCCCAGGCGTACACATGTGTTTGTGTACGCGGTTACACCATCCATATGCTTACCGCCGCAAGCACTGAGGTCATGCACTGCATAAATGATAGCGGGACAAATAGGATAGCAACCATGTGGGGCTACACACGTCCAAACACAGCTTAGAGAGCTAACAGTCTGGATACTAAAACTACTTTTTTAAATCATGACTTTGTGACCTTTCTTTCTTTTGGTTGTCATTAATGCATGAAGGTTTTGGAATCTGAGGTCCAGTGGTATCTATCCATATCTCTCTTTCTCTCTTCAGCACACACTCGTATACAGCGGCGCCCTGGTACCTATCCAAAAATACTCCTGAAGTTTTTTCTTTACGCTATATGTGTTTATTTCCGTCGATGTGTGGAGTGTTTCGCGCCTGCTGTCTTAAATTATCACATCTTGATGTCTGTTGCTTCCTTGCGGCCGACTGTCCCCCTCTCTCATCTCTGCCGTTCTCGACCATCTGGCTTGAAGTCCGTCTTCTGTTCTCGGTTGTACTGCAGATACAGAAAAGGCTGGGATGAATTTATCATAGCAATTTTAAACTTGCTGCTGGTATTTTTAGTATGTGTGATCAGAAACTATTTGAAAAGGTTTAGTGAGAAGGGGTGCGGCTGTAAGATGCCTTGTCTGGAGCTGTTACGTTTATAGTAAACTATATAGGATGGAATCAGTCTGAAAGAAGTGCTGGAGGGGCTCTGGAAGGATCTGGCTGTATGAGATTGAGAAAATGCCATCAACACACGATGACATGTGAAATTCATGTATGGGAGAGGAAATAGAGGGCAGTCACCTCAGAACAAAAGCTTGGTTGCATTAACACCTTTTCCTCTCACTGGGGAGTAAATCAGATTTTGAAACGCTTACAGCAGAATGGCTGTTTATTTTCACTTCCGTAATAGCAGGCGTAAATAAAAATGTCTTATTGTGGAATGTCCTCCACATTTAACAATAACAACATTGCATGGTAGGTCTTATAGACAGGTAGATGGTTTGTATTGTGTTTAAAGAACCAGATAACACTTTTCTAAAATGAGTCATTCTAAACTACCCTCACATTCCAAACAGCTTCCACATATCCCAACTCTGACTGTTAATTTTCTCTTTTTATTCATATTTGCAGTAATCGCCGACTCGTTGACAGTAACAGCACCAGCCCAAACTCTGTCCAAGGTCGAAGGCGACACACTACAGCTCAACTGCGAGGTGTCTCGGACCACAATGCAACACACTCACTTATCAGTTGGCTGGTACCTGCGGTCCCCAGAGGACGCGGCAGCCCCGCCTCAGGAGCTGGTCACCTTGTCAAGGGACTTTGTTCTGCGCTCTGGGGGACCGTACCGGCAGAGGATGGCAGCAGGGGACCTCAGGCTGGATAAAACCAGCGCTACGGCCTACAGGCTGACCATTCACAAGCTGCAGCCAGTGGACCAGGGTCTGCTCTACTGCCAGGCTGCCGAGTGGATCCAGGACACAGACGGCAGCTGGTTTGCCATGACACGCAAGCAGAGCGACAAGACTCAGCTTCGCATTCAGCCCACTGGTGAGTAAAGGGAAAAGATTCTGTGAAAAAGATGTGGGGGGAAGTAAAGATACTGGTCTACTCTTAGGTCTTCCTTGTCCTCTTGACAGACACACACGCAAGCATGTAGGCCGGCTTCCTCTGATTGCTGATGGGTATCTCACACTAAGCTCATTAGCTTACTAAAAAGAGCTTAACTAAACCTCCACAGACTCCCCACTTTTGTATTTGTGTCTGTTTGATGGGCAACATTACAAGCACATCCAAGGATAATTTAACCAGCTCCAAACCGTGTGGGTGTTTGACACGAGAGGCCCATGGATTCCACATATACAATCTCCCAGGCAACAGGTGGCCCAGAGATCAGAAGCCAGAAATGTTTTTTTCAATTACTCCTCGCCAACAATTGCACCAGTCTTGTTTGTGCTTGAGTGCATTACAGGGAGAAACTATGCTGGTTTAGAGCGGTTGCCAGCTCTGAAGGAGGAGATTGTCTGTCTAATGTAAGGGAGAGAGGGGGTTACCAACCAAGGGAGGAAGAGGAAAGGGGGAGGGAGGCATGCGGTTGAGAAAGTAACAAGGGGTCCATATGTGGGAGGAACAAAGAGTGTGTTGGGGTGGCTGATGGGGGAGTAGGCCTCGTATGATAATGATCTAATAAGCTGTCAGCCTCTAGAGTTGATGGACCAGAAGCAAAGACGACTTTATGCCTCCTCACATGTACTTATAACCTCCCGCCCGACTCGACCCCGTCACACCCACTGCGCTGTATTCCACATCCATAAAGAATCTCTTTGTATGCCTCCAAGAAAGGGCCACGGAGATGGGTGATAAACTGCTTTGACATTAGCTCAATTACCAAGGCAGCACGCAGTGGCGAGTGTCTCATGCCAGTAAATCATTTCAAAGTGGAGTCATTTTGCCGCTTCTCCATTAAGCATTAGATCCGCTCTGGACCAATACAACTTGATGGTGCCCCAGATAGTGCTGGGTGGATGAGAAGGAGAATGGGAACTCAGATGTAAAGCAGGTTTGTCAGATGAGTTCCTGCTACTTCAGGGAGGAGACAAAAGGCACAAAGAGCTCCCCTCTCAGTACCCTTCGTCACTCTCTGTCTTCTCTGTAATCTATAATGGATGGAGGTGTTGTTGCGTGACAAAGAGAATACAGCAGTATGAGAGCTCGAACTCAAGTATATGTGTGAATTCATTTTGATTTCTTTGTATGTCTGTACTCACTTATAGCCTGATGGGCGCACAACTTTTACACCTTCAGGCTAAACTTGTGTAGTTGATGTTGCACCTGTCCGTGTGTATATTTGACAGAGAGAGAAGGGGGAATTTAGAAAGTAGAGGGAGCAGCTCCTCCATTAGACTCCTATTATAAAAGATGGAGTGGATCTCAAGACAGCCCCATCACTAGCTAATCACCCACAGCCTCAGCATCAGAGAGAGGAGCAACGGACAGAATCCTAATGTACCTTTCGCTCTCAGTTTTTACCATCTCTCTTTTTTTCCTTTTCTCCCACCTCCTCCCTTGCTCTCACATCACCCCTCATTTTCTGCAGTCATGTCTCAGCACTGCACAGTTTTTCTCTATCACCCACTTCCTCCCTACTCCTTCTGCTCCTTGCTCTTAATACTCTTCTTCTTTTGTTCTAATTAGCTCTAAACACTAACACATGCTGAACCTGTGAGACTGTTTTCTCTGCATCCTCTCAGCTGAACTCGTCCTGTAAAACACAGTCCTAATAGAGCTTCATGCTGAGTGGTGACAAATACTTGTCAAAGCAGGTTATGACCCTTTTAGCTTTGCTGCCCTTCCTTCAGAATTAAACACATTTAAATGTCATAATGCAATGTATTCCTGCTCATTTAGCGTATATGAGGCTTTTTCTTCAACCCCACTGTGTGCATTGACTATTTCCACCATTCACCATTATTTTGCTAATCATCAATTAGTCTGTAAAATGTCAACTATAGAGAAAAATACAATCCAAAGCAGACATACAGGAGAATATACTAGACACAAGAAACTTAAATTACGGTGATATAAAAACTGTATGTGTAAACCGTATCCTTCTTCCTCCTATCATAATGTTCCCCTGCATAAGAAGCTCTATTCCAACAGCAGGCTTTGAACTTTTACACATGAGTGTGTTTCTCAGGAAGTCTGTTTAAAGTCTTTGTAATTACAGCTCGGGGCTACCACCTTACTGAGAGGCAAAGCAGCCGTCTCTGTTACATACTGTGCTCATCATCTGGAAATTAATACAGCAAATAAAACTGAACACACAGCCATACATGCACATGCAAAAACACAGCCACACATGCGCAGACTAATGTGGCCAAGTGGAAGAGCTACCACTAGCAGTGTTTACTTTGTCTTTTCTGTCTCTGGCCTTGCAGGAGGAGGAGGAGAGCGCCTGACTCTGTTTCAGACTGCTGAAGAGAATTTTAATTAGATGTGTTTTTTATTGCAGAGGTGACACCAAGGGGGGAGAGGGAGCAGAGCTCTCTGAAAGATCAGCGTTTTACCAGAGCGATGCACTGTGTGACCTCAAGCTTCTCTAGTTTCTATTATCTCCCCTCTCTCTCTTCAGCACTAACTGATGCTACTTTATTGCCCCATCCTTGACCACCTCGAACCCTACCTCTACCACCCACCTGCTCAATCCTCTTTCTCTCTCTGCCTTTTATTATGCAGGTTCAGCATGCTAAAAGACAGTGGATATTAAAAAAACAACAGTGTCACACATTTCAATTGTAGCCCATATTTAGACATCAGTCTTGTCTTCGATGTCAGAAACAAGCTGTTTGGGAACGTAACAAATATCACCTTCTTGAACAGATCTCCCCACACCTACGCTCTTTTCATTCGGCTGCTTTATTTAAAATCTAGTGCCGTATTCAAGGGTTTTGTATTTTTACTGGTAGTGGATACAGTTTTTATCTTACTAAGCCAAAATGATGTGCAACATTCAAAAGGGGGATTTTCGTTTCTTGTTTCATATAAGTATATCTTCTTCTATATCACAGAGTTCTGTCACTGTTTCCTATACAATAAATAACTTTTGGCAGCCACACTTATGATTGTTCTACAAAAGACTACTTTAACCTTTATTGTCCTACTGTTCCCTCTACCGCCCCCCCTAATCTTTTTCACTCAGATCGGGACTTCAGCATCCAGGTGAGCACGGAGCGACGGTCCTTCACGGCCGGTGAGCCGCTGGAGCTTCGCTGCACCATCGAGGCCCAGAATGTGCCAGAGCGTTTCTTCTCGGTGTCGTGGGTCTTCAGCAGCTCACCGGTGGCCGTGGTGGGCCCCAGTGCCGTGCCTGTCCTGGGCCCCGATTACGTCGCCCGTGAGGCGACTGGTCACATGACAGTGCGCAAAGAGAGCACCAACGTGCACCTGCTCAAGTTGCAGCACCTACGCCCCGAAGATGCTGGGAAATACATCTGCCGTGTGACGGAGCGGGAGAAGACACCCACAGGAGACTTCATCGACCGCAGCAAGAGGTCACGCAATGTCCAGATCACAGTCCAGCCACTCAGTGAGTAATAATCTGTTCATGAGGCCACTGGCTTGGTTGTCCTTAGTTGTCAATTACACTAAGAATGATGAGCTTTTCATAATAACAGTTTTATCTTCATGTAGGCAGTATGGGATGTCATACTGTGCTCATCTCCAGCTTCTCTCTCTATCTTTCTCTCTCAGTCTCCCCCTTTCTCCCTCTCCAAGGTGGCCTATAAGAGATAGCTGCACAGTCTCTATTGTTAACTGTGAGTAAGAGGGGAAAGGATAATGCCTCTCTTATTCCTGATGTATTTTCTGTTTGAGTGGATTGCTAAGGATTGGTAATGCAGCATTATGGTCCTTCCCATTTCCTTGGCTTAGCTTGGAGGGGGGGGGGGGGGTGTGACACTATAGTAGGATAATAGAGAGCAAAAGAGTCCAGGCTCAAGGAGGCTGAGCTAACAGCCATGAAATGAAAGCGTGGAGAAAGAAAAGAAGCAGAGAAAGGCGCCTAGCTCTCCAGGGCCCTCTAAGTGGTTCCCCAGGCTAAATTAATGTGTTCTGCTGGGGCAGACCTCTTCAGCTGGGTTAAGCAGGGCTGGCCGGTGAGGTTGCAAATTTACAGTCAAACCTTAAAACCCTGCTCACAATCCTCTCTTCTGTCACTGAGATTTCTCTGCATCTCAGTGGCAGCAGGAAAACACCCTTCCACCAGTTTGGGTCATTTGCTTCATCTCCTCTTCTCTCTTTACCTTCATGTCTCTTAGGACTGGAACAGTGTGTAGAGACACAGCTGCTACCAGCATAATAAAACATAATAACCACTGAGTAGTATCTGCTCTCAAGCAGCCAACGCTACCTTATCCTGACCGCTCTGCACCCCCTGCTAAATCAGCCTAAAACAATGGCCTTGAGCCTGCAGCAGTCTCCAGGGAACCCCTCTGTATGGGAGGTTTTGTTTTTTCAACAAAAGACCTTAATGCCCCATAAAGGATGTTTATAGGGTTTACACAGGATAATAGCCATGGTTATTGGAGGAGAACTTTCATGAAACACTGCAGTCGTGGCAAGGCAGGCATGTATTTCATGCACAAACTGTCCTCTCTCTTGCCTACTTTCTCTTACCTGCAAACACCATTTCAAGATGTGCTTCATCACTCTAATTGGGCAAATTGGGTGAGAGCTGGTAATAGGGTGCGACGGGGGTTAAAGTTGATGAGTCAGAGGCAGGCAGAGGTGACAGCAAAGGAAAAACAGAGGTAAACACTTCTGACAAATCACTGTTGATGGATGAGTTTACCTTTGCAATGAGAAAGGGAGAAAGAGCTCACATGCCAAACTGAATCTCTATCATACATAGATAGAAAGGACAAGTGCAAGGGTAGGAGAAAAAAAGAGAGGACTTATACTGTAATAGAGATAAAAATGTATTCTGTAGTTTAAAAAGCAAAAAAGAAGGGGCTGGTGGGAAAAATGTGAACATTTAAAAAATAAAGCTGAAAAAAGAAGGGAAAGTTAGATAAGGGCAAAGCTGTCCAGAAACCAGACAATTTAATGGGAAGGAGGATGTGTGTATCTACTTGCATAACTGTCTAACAATCCCCTCTTCACGTCTCAGTGTGAAAAAGTGATAGAATACAATATGTTCTTGGCCGTGGAAAAAAAACTATGAAGCAGCTACAATGAAAGACCAAAGGGAAGAGGAAAAGGATGAAGGCTTTTCCCTTTGTTCATTTGAGTGTGATGGAAGCAAGCAGCAAGTTAATTCCATATTCACAGCGAGCTCATGCTTATTAGGAGTGATGGTGAGCTGTGGGGGAAGCAGCAGAGCTTGGCCTGAGGGGAAAAAAAGTGAGAAACCTTAAGCCACACCCCCATGAGATAGCAGCACGAGGCCCCCGCAGAGCAAAGGGTCAACCAGGGCTCCGTTATGTTTGATGGACGTTGAAGTGATGAGAGTCGAGATAAAGCAGAAAAACAGAGCAGAAGAGCCAGTAAAGACTTTTATCCTCCTCCTCCTTCTGAAGTGCCGCTGAGCCCTGTGATCTGAGCCCTCTTTCCTGTGCCTGCATGGACTCGGTCAACACGCCACACAGGGTTCAGAAAGAGAATCTCACAAACTCACCAGGGCCTCTTCTTCTGGCTGTCACTCTGATGTGCCCGAGGCCAGTTACCAAACCGCACTATCGTTCTCTCTCCCTCTCTCTCTCTCTCCCTCTCTCTCTCTCTCTCTATGTCACACACCCACACACACACACACACACACATATACATACACATACACATACACACATACAAGCATGCAAACACCATGCACAGCACTTGCACAGGACTGTGTTATACTCCCGGGAACAGACTCAGCGAATTGCTTTATTGCCCCTGGCCTCCTGTACTCTGTGAATGTTTTAACAAAGAAAGTGTGATTCTTATTGTGTTGAGATTTTGAGGAACTTTTTCTAACTCCTTTCAAGTGTCATCTTTTCTAATGCTCACCTTTATGTCTTTCTCTCTCTCTTTTCTCTTCCCTCTCAGAGAGCAACATCACAGTGGCATTGTCCAGTAACTCCTCAGAGGTCCTAGAGGGCGATGTGATCCAGTTGACCTGCTCGGTCTACTCCACTTCAGGCCCCTTGTCTATTGCCTGGCAGTGGACAGACAAGCAGGCAACTGGACCGCCCCAGGAAGTGGCCTCTGTGGATCGGGATGGCACTGTATGGCACAGTTCTGCCTACAGAGAGCGCTCCAGCTATGGGGAGATACGTGTGGAGAAGGTGCGGGGCGACACGTTCACTCTGTCCCTGTATAATGCCATGCCTGGGGATGAGGGTCAGTACAGCTGCACAGTCACGGAGTGGCTTCAGACCGGCACGGAACCAGAGCTAAACTGGGATAAGATAGGAGAGAAGTCTGCCACCAAGACTGTCACCGTTAAGACTGTTGGTAAGTTATTGCAACCTAATTTAAACCCAATATATTCTGTTCCAGCCAAGTCAATGAGACACAAGGACAGAAGAGGGGGTGCTGTGGGGGATGCAGTGGAAATATCATTCAACCATTTAAAATAATCTGTGATAAAAAATAATTTTGACACTTTGTTTACTTGTTGAATCAAGTATGCTTCAAGTATGAAAAATATGGTAAATTTAAGGGATAAACATATACAGTATATGGTTTTCTAATTAATGACATGACTGCATGCCTTCACCTCAGCTTAAATTTTAGAGGAGCAAACTATCTAAACAAAACCGGCCATATGGCAAATTAATGACGCAGAAAATAGCGTAAAATAGCATATTTCTTCACTTTAATTAGTCCAAACAAACTAGAAAATAGGCTGTATGGGGAACAAAGAGAGACACCGTGTACACTGGTTCTTATGCTTCCTGGCTGCTTTTATACTCTAAATCTAGTGTTTTCATGTTTTGTTGAAACTGAATCTCCGTGTCCTCTGGTGCCCACAGTGCATCAACTAACACACGATCAACCTGCAGAGGTGTGATAAAAACAAACGTTCTGAGTTTTTTTTGTTTCGTTTAGTTTTTTTTTTGCATTTTTTCAGTTTTGTAGTTTTGACAAGCAGCAGCTGAGCTTGTTGCAAGTTTAAATCTCCTCAACCATATGGCTCATATCTTGCTGTAATATTGTGTCCATGCGAGGTACAGATTTAACAGAAGAAAACATACTACATCTTTCGGTTGTTAATTCTAAACATTAATACATGTGTCGCCACTCATTCACACCAAGTCAAAGAGAGGCATATGGTTTGTGATTTGCTAAAGACTGATGAATGGCGTGGGCAGAACATGCAGTCCACATAGGAGAATACACCATGGTTTATTCATGCGCTGCTCCAGGGAAAGAGTTATTATGACACACACACACACACACACACACACAAACACACACTCTCACACCACCTGCCATGCGTCAAGAGCAGTGCAACCGTGACACCCATCATAGATGCACATACACACACAACCGAATGGATTAGCCAGAATTATTAGAATGGAAATGCAGCGGCAATGTGTTTCACAGTCTTTGGGTCTCCTCTGTCAGTGCTGAGTTAAGCTGAACATCCTCGGTACAGGCTGAGGAAGCCAGTGGAGCGGAGCAGTGAGGAGCTGGCAGACCGGGAGCACTGTGCTCAATACACACACACGCACATATACACGCATACACACACAGCCAACGGATTAGCTCCCTGCAGCAGCACACAGCGGTGCTGCAGAGAAGAGATGTCAGTTTTTAAGTGGCCATTTGTTAAGTTCGGGCAACAACAGAAACATTAGTTTGAGGAACAAGGGACGCATTATGCAAATCAGGGAAAATAAGTCCAAAGCTGCTCGTCTCTCTTCAGTTACACTCCTCGACATCGCCTCTCCCTCTCCTCCATGCTTGTTGATCAAAGGATTTTCTAAATGTGCGCTGTGGTGTGACGGTCAATGTGTGTGTTTTACTTTGTCTCAGATTTATTTTGGACCTCGTTTTTCTCACTTTAGCCTCCCAACTGCAGTTTTATTGGATGATTGGACCTAAATCTGCCATGCAGATAGAGCACTTTTTTCCAGTGTATCAGCTTTCTTCCCTTCTACTACTCTTGCCTTGCTTCTTTAGTCCGTGCACCTAATGAATAAAAAAGAAAAAGAAAAGTTGTGTTCCAGTTTCCTTCTGAACTCAGACCTGTCCTCTGAGTGAACCGTTAAAAATATTACATATGGTCACTGTACTTTAATTTAGTTCATCGCTTCCTCCTTTATGGACTCCCTGTGCTTGCTGACAGGACCTGGAGGGGATGAGAGAGGGATGTCCTCTAGGTGCCTTGTGTTTTTGTTGCCACAGTGAAGACAAAGGTGCTTGGTAGAGAGTCTTCTTTCCATCTGATTGGCTTAAGGGGCCCTCAGGGCGGTAGCAAAGGAGAAGCCTATACACACACACACGCCAATGTATAGATACAAATAGACACAGTCTCCCACTCAACCACACGCATTTTTTGTACAGTGAACGACCAAATGCATTCATGTTTATTCACACAAACAAAAGGCAGAGTTGTATGGGAGAATGGATCGGCGTGAAATCCTCTTTTCTGTCACAGAGGCAGGCAGACAGTGAGGGACATGGATGGATGGTAGAGGGGCGCGGTCAGATGAGAGATAGAGGAAGAGGGGAGAGTTATTGTCTGTTAGAGAATTATGGCCCCGGGCGGCTGTCCCAGCAGTAGCCAAGTCCGGACAGACAGCCATTGATTACACACCCTGAAGGACACCGGGGGTGATGGCTGTCAGTGGAAGAGCGAGGGTGAGGGACAGGGAGAAAGTGACGGGGCTGTTGACAAGAGCATAATGGAGAAAATCTGCAAAGTCTCAAGGAAATGAATTATCTGATCTGGAAAAAAAATCTGACTTCATCAACAGCCCTCCATTCTACCTCCCTCTTTCTTTTTTATCTTTAACATATTCAAGCTCAATCATTCACTTTCATTGAAATGCCCTGAAATAGGCACGGTAGGGCCAGGTTATTAAAGGGACATGAGTAAAGAAGTGAATTTTCTTTATCTAGTGTCTCTCTGTCTCTCTCTCTCTTGGCAATAATATATGGAGTTGGGTGAACGTTTTTAGCTTAATGAGGATAGTTTAGACTTGGCAAGGAGTTGGGCGTAGATCGAACATCGGCGCTTAGAGGAAATCTCTCCCATGGGTTTTCTTTGTTGCATCACCCATTCATTTTGAAGCGTACTCTCACAGTTGAGCACACCAACTCATACTTAGACACACGCAGAACATAGTATACACGCACATGCATAAGCAAAGTGGCAGTTTTTTGCCCATAATGATGGAGAGAAATACTTCTGGAAAATGAGAATTGCTTTACCGAGAAGCCAGTGCACTTAAAGTAAATACTGTTTGTATTTTGTTCCAGCAGGGGGCTTTTTTCCTCTTGGTAACCATGCTTAAAAGGAAAGTTTGTTCCTGGAATACGGTTATGAACCTCTACATCATTTGCTGAGCTTTAAGCTTTTAGAAAACAAACTCGATCACAGACCCAGGCTGTGTTGTGCTATTACTTACTCATGTCCTAACAACCTCTCTCTTTTCTTCCACCATCTAGAGTCCTCCTTCATGGTGTCGGCCTCATCACGGACACCATCCGTTACCTTTGGAGACTCCTTTGACCTGCTGTGCCTGGTCAAGCCTCGCCACAACCCTCGCGTTCCCACCTCAGTCACCTGGCGCTTCATGCCTGCTGGCACAGAAGCCGACGACGAGGATCAGGGAGAGTTCAAAGACCTGGTGACTTTCACTCGCGAGGGCACGCTACAGTGGGGCGAGCAGCTGCTAGGGCTGGGTACCCGCACCACAGTGGACCGCTCCCACTCTAACACCAATTTTCGGTTGTCAGTGACCCGCGCAGGTCGCCGCGAGGCGGGCAAGTACCAGTGCACAGCCGTCCTGTGGAGGAGGAACTACGACAACAGCTGGAGCAGAGTAGCCAACCGCACTTCCAACCTGCTTGGCATCAGTGTCCTACAACCAGGTAAAGGCTGCATGGCTGCTTGCCAGGCAGACACACACCTAATTGGAATGGACACAGACTAGCACACAAACAGGGATAAACACAGATTCAGACACACACTCACAGACACACACACACACACACACACACACACACACACACACACATAAAGTGAATTCAGCAGAGCTTAGAGGATTTCTGCCTGCTCTAATTGCTCTTAGTCTCTGGTTTAGCCACTAATTGGAGTGTGTGTGGACGTGTGTGTCTGTATGTGGAGGGCAGGGTGGAGTCTCCTAATGGAGCACAGCGAATGGATTGCTAAATATCCCACAGGAAGAAAAAACTGAAAGAAAGGGAAGAGGGAGACAGAGAGAGAGAGAGAGTGAGAGAGTGATAAAGAGAGTGAGCGAATTGTCCTTGAACCTTTTTCCTCAGTGGAGGCATTAAACTGTCTACACTGCCCTCATTGGCCCTCTGTGCTCCACGCACACACAGAGAAAAACAGTCAGACACAGCCCAATTAGTGGCTGAACACAAACAAAAAATCACACACAGACACACACAAAACACACATATCGGCCCAATTTAGCCCAGTCTGGTGTGCCTCTACAGCATGATACTTCATTTATTCAGGTGAAGGTGCCTGAGGCAAATACTCATATTGCTGATAACCCCCCCCCCCACACACACACACACACACACACACACACACACACACACACACACACACACACACACACACACACAATCTGTTGTAGTCAGGCTTTTAAAGCAGTCCAGCAAAGCATTATGGTACCTGAAGTACCAATGAAGTCCAGATTTGTTGGATTTGGCAAGAGGAATTTGAGCAAAGCGCGTGGGTGGGATGAGAAGTAGGTTTTAAACCTCTAAAATGCCAAATGTTTGTCTCAAACATTATATTTGTGATCATGAGCAATGCATAAATAGATACGTGCAACCTGGTGCTATTGAGCGCCTACACGTTTCTTCCATGTTCAGGTGAGCATAAGTAAGGTGCCGTCTTGAGTTCAGAGGCAGACTGTGGTGATCAATAACACTTTTCAAAGTGAGCCAGTGGAATGTAGTCACATGTACAGTATAGAGTCTCTCTTTCCCTGCTGCTATTGATTCAATTACACACACATACACAAATGCAACCTGATGTAAACAGAGTCGCACACACACACACACATACAGAATCACCGCAGCTCAGTGACAGCGCTTCACTTGCTTGACTGAATGTGCTCTGACCTTAACCATTCACGCAGAACACACAGCGTCCCCGGCCCCTTCAGGAGTTATTTGGAAATCGACTTATCATCCTGAATGTTCATTTACCTCCCCCCCATGTGCAGTTTACAATGTTTATCCTTAACCAAAAAAACCTTAACCACACACACACACACCCACACGCACACATTTTGCAGGGGAATAAATACTGGGTCCTCCTCCCACTCCATTTTCCAGCAGCATCTCCATGATAAAGTGATCAGTTACCTTGGTAATGCCATCAGTAACCGTGACGATGTGATCAGTTGCCGTCTGAAAGCCAATCAGTAACCATAACGGTGCGATCACTCTGTGTGTAAGGGCACTATCTCACAGGGGAGGGCAAGTGAGTAATTCCTTTATCTCGTTGGTTGCCGGGGCCCGGCTCAGTCCCCGGTCACGCTGTGTTCGTCTCCTCCACCTCCTGTCTTTTTTTGGTTGTGCAGTCAGACCTTCATTTAGACTGATGATTCATTTGTCAGAATGTAGGACGTCTCTCTCTGTCTCTCTCTCGGTCTTTGCCTCACGCCTCTCCTCCCAGTCTGCTTTTCCCTCTCTGTTTTCCTAAATGTTAACCCCTCCTGGCTAAATGAGCGGCTGGCATTTTCAGTTCTTCTCTCAAAGAAGTGGGATAAAGGTGTGTGTGTGTGAGTGTGTGTGTGTGTGTGTGTGTGTGTGTGTGTGTGTGTGTGTGTGTGTGTGTGTGTGTGTGTGTGTGTGTGTGTGTGTGTGTGTGTGTGTGTGTGTGTGTGTGTGTGTGTGTAATGAGGTGTGAGCAAACACAGCATCTGACCAGATTCATAATTGAGAGACTTTAAATCATGCTTCCATAGGTACTTGCTCAATATGTATGAGCTACTTCGCCATACACGCCTAAGTTTTTGCATGAATGCCCCTGCAACCGGGGTTCTCGAGATGTGCCTCTGAGAGCTTGCATATGCTTACTATGCATATATACACAAGCCCACCTCACCCCTGATACCCAGCGACACAACAGAAGAACTCTTTCTCTCAGATTTCCGATGGTCCATTACACCACTGTTTTGTATTCAGAGGAAAGACGCGCGTAAGAAAGTTTGCAAATGCAGAATGGCCCCCCTCATTAAAATCATTGTAGAACTTCAAAAGCGGAGCGTTAAAACTAGCATCATAAATCAAATACCGCCCTTGATCCAACATCCATGCATCTTAGATCAGCAGATGCGAAAAGTTGGATATAGATAAAAGCTGAACTAAGCCCACACTGAAGCATTCAGCCGGTCAGCGTGATGTTCCGTCAAACAAGCGAGGAGCCTGTAGCCCAGCCCAGGCATACTTCCTGTTCCAGATTGCATTAGCAGCACACTGCCTGCGTCCAAGTCCCAGGGGTCATACCAGAGGAGTTCATCACCCTATCTGCACACACAAATACAATATTTTTACGTTCCTTGTGAGGGCAACTCTGTGCAGCAGTTTGGCTTAAATTCTCCACCACGGGCTTCACGCAGTGAACCACTGCACACACAGGAGTATACATCATGTTCATGTATACAAGTGTATGCAGTACATGGATACACACTGGGGAGGAGGGGGTTACCTCCCAGAGCAAAAGTGTAATTATCTTATGGTAGAACACCATTCAATATTAGTGCTCACAGCAGAGGATCTTTACAAACACACGGGGAAAAAAAACGTAAACACAAGGTATACAGTTCCACATACAGTAATATTAGATTTCACCTGATTGAGTTTTCTCTTTGTCTCCTTCTGAAATGCAATAATGGCAAACACATGTTCAGCATGGCAGATCACCAGGGAAGCCTCCATCTCTACGACACTATCTAATATCATCTACTCATAACTCAGACTGCACGCACACACACACAAAAAAAAACACACTCTTCATCTCTCCGACTCACACACACACACACACACACACACACACACACACCGAAAACACGCAAAACTAATTATACTGAATCTTCCCTAATGGAACCAGAGTTTAGATTAATGACGGTTTTGGGAGTTCAATACATTTTTCTCATAATTCGAGTGTGTGCATGTGCACATTAGTGTGCATGCGTCTGGCACGAGGAGTGGGATATTAAGACCGTCTGGTTATTGGCTGAGCTGGAGTAATGATTTGGGGGGGGGTGTCCCACTTATAGTTTCTCCTCATCTCTCCTCATACACCTACGCTCGCCTGGCTACCTTTCACTCATATGATCAAACATCACGACGAAGGAATGGATGCCTTTTTTTTTGTTGCTTATTCTTATCCTCCACTCTTGTTTTGCTCTCTTGTGGTTGCGCTTTGAGTTAGACAATATATGCCTCCTACATTCTCTTGTCCCACCTCGTACTCTCTCTCTGTCTCTCTTGCTGATAGTTCTTCGGGGTATATTCTCATTTAATATGGGCTGGCACCAGCAGATGCTGCATGTGCTCTTTTCATGCCAGTGAAGTACTTGCCACCCAGCCGTTATTGATAGCAGTGGCATCGTTGCGGTGATTGGAGATTCCTGCTTAACAGGGCATGGATAAGAGCTGTCTATCTTCATTAGGGCCCCGGCCTATCACACTCATGTCCTCCTTTCTCACTCCTGCTCCAACTCTGTCTTTCTACATTTTATTCTCACTCTCCCCATAAGTCTCTTTTAATGTCTTCTTTCCCCTTCACTCGCACTTAGCTGCATGTTTCCCTCCACGCACACGCCCCCAGCTTCTTTCTCACTCTTGTGATTTTTCAATATTTTATAATTCCCTGCTTCCCTCCTCCTCCTCGTAATTCTCTCCATTATGTTTACATTTTTCTTCAAATAGCTTCTTCACTATTGTCGGTATTTCATAAATAATAAGGATTTGGCAGCTGTTCTTGTTTGCACACAATAGCGGCTTTATCGCAGTGTTATTGTTGGTGTCAAGGTTATAAATCTTTTCTGTGCCCTGAATATAGTTTTGGTTTGCCCACAAGCTCACCTGAGGCAGCACTCTGTGTACAGGGTTGCCTGCATGTCTGCAGAACACAACCTGCCTCTCCTACAGTTTATACATTTCTTATATAAATAATCAGAGTGCACTCATTGCCTTTTCGTCTGTAGCACACACACAGAAACAGGCAGGGTCATAATGGGTGATAAATGAAGAGCCTTTGAGGGGTGCACTGAACAGAAAATAATTTCGTAAAATACTTTTGATTAATCACGCCTGTTTCAGACATTCAAGGTCAGACTCCTTTCTTGTGTCTTCTTAAACCCTCACACTCTCTCTCGTGCAAGAATACAAGCACATTTTTGTGTCACATCCAATCCAATCCGGGCCTCATTTCCTTGTTCAGCCCAATCTGCACACACAATGAGATTCTCTGTGTTGTGTCCTTCCATCTCTCTTAAGCACCTTCGTGTGTATGTGTGCGTGCATGTGTGCACACGCTTGTGTGTCCTGCTGCTGCTGTAATTGAAGTCGTAACTCAGAGCTAGCTACAGTGCTGCTGCTCCCCATGTAAATCAGTGGCTAATAGTAGGAGCAGAGCAGGAGGGGCTAGGCAGTGCTGCCTCCTGAATACATCCACGCACACACACCAGCCTCTAGCTTGCACTAACTGAATGACTACTGTCCTCTGTGGTTTAATGAGTATAATGCATTTTATGCTTATTGGCACACGCGTTTCAAACACACACACACACACACACACACACACACACACACACACACACACACACACACACAAACACACAGGCGCATGGTTCAGTCTGATATGTCTTTATGCTCTC